ATAGATAGATAGATAGATAGATAGATAGATAGATAGATAGATAGATATTCTTTGTGAGCTTTGTATCATATTTGTCTCTCCTCTCAAATGAATAACCTGAGATCAATGAATATGTGCCCTTTAGATCCAAAGCCAATGATTGTGTTTATGTGTCACAACCAGGGATAGCATGACACTGACAAGGGGATCATTTACCTATGCCAGTGGGGAAGAATACCACGGCGAGTGGAAAGAAGGCAAGGCTCCTCTGTTTCTCAGCTGTAAAGAAAGTTTGTAGTTGATTAAAGTACAAGGTGTGGGACCTTAACGGAAATTAGAGATGTCTACATTTTTTTTCATCCTTTACACAAAGCCAGCACAAAACTGTCTAAAGTGTGAAATAGAATGGGAAAATCTATTCAGTGTTAGTTACAATAAACCTGCCATTAACTTGTGAACTGTGTCTGTGTTCCTGTACGTAAAAAAAAAAACTGAAGACACAACAGTAATGATTAAGACTTATCAGTAAAACAAACTATTTTTAAAAAGTTATTTTTAAATGGAAAGCTCAAATGAGTACAAACTAAGAAATTATATTTGTTCTTAACATATTGATCTTATTAAAAATGTATTCTTAATTCAAATTTGATGTTCATACATTCTCTTTTTTAAGGGTTTATATATCGGGTAATAATAATGCCCTTATTAAGTCATTATTTCTTGAATAGAAGATAAGCTAAACTACTAAATAATTAGAAGGGGGTGTCCTTACTAAGTAACACTCAACAGATACAATTTACTAATCAGACTAAGTCTCCTGAACCAATCTACTTTAGTTGAGGTCAACTAAAAAGCTCTTAATGACAACAAAAACATTCAAGTTGAAGCTATTTAGAAAGTTAGCTTGAATGGATAAACTGATACCAACAGAGCTAGATTTAACAGCTCTGCTAGAATCCTCTTGATTAGACTTTGGTCCTGTTTAGGAGACAGTTGATGTACCTTTCAGAAGATCTAACTCGGTCAAACGACTAGAGACAGGAAGGGACCAGAGATGGTTTTGGATATTTCAAATATTATTAGCTATAGATATTAGATATTTTTGTTTGTACTTGGGTTTTGGCTTCACTTTTCTGAATAAATACACTATTCTGTAAATCTTTCAACCACAATCACACATTCACACTGACTAGCATCAGCACTGAATCATAGTCAACCAGGAGGACACAGATTCCTCCTCCGTTTTCACAGTGTGGCTCCTTAATTAGAAATCCCCGTTAAAATCCTGGAGGATTAGACAGAAGTAATTCCCACCTGCACAGGAGGCAGATGGAACTCCTAATTCCATAGTAAAACTTTATCTCACAGGTGGAGGAGGCACGCTTTAATCTGAGCACGGACTGACTCCTGATATACTCCCATCAGCCACAACATTATGAACTGATGAACGTAAAGGGAACCACTGGCTTTCTTGGTTCAACAGAACCTCAGAGTTGGCAGGATAGGTAGCACAGGGACATTATTTCACTGAAGTTTGTTGTGTCGGAAGCAGATAGAATGATTTCAAAGGGCCGAATCCTTATGGCTAGACACCTGAATAATGTTATCTCCACAACTACAGCTCTGGTTCTTATCTACGGTGGCTCAGAATCAGGAGCTTCTTGAAATGGTTGAAATGGGAAAAATGGGAAATGGCAACATAGTCATTTGTTACCAAGGATCATTGATGCATGTGGGAAGTGACAGCTGGCCTGTGATGTCTGATCCAATAGAAGAGCTCTTGAGGCTAACTGTTCCTGCAGATTGGTCAGGGTGCCTGATATGGACCACCTTCACCACAGAAACCTCTGCAACGAACAAACGAAGATCAGAACTGAAATAGGACTATTGCAAGAAGTTGGCTTAACGTGATGTGTTAGGTTTGCTTTTACATAATTTGGATGGCTGGATCTCACATCAATTGTGATGTGTAAGCAGTGGCACAGTCATCTTTCATAATACGTCAAATTAAAGATACCCATGGAGATAAAAAGTCCTCTGACCAATTTTTAGTAATTTCATTTCTTTCTCAAGTTTCCATCCTCTGCTTCAGCCATTGCTCACCGTGGTTTGGTGCTTTCCAGGTCGGAGACATGGTCTTGGACAGCTCAAGTTTCAAGATGGATGTTGCTACACTGGCCAGTTTGAGAATGGACTCTTTCATGGCTCTGGCATGCTGATTTTTACAGATGGATCCAGGTGTGTGAGCAAGAAAAAAATGGGGAAAAAAGATGTGTTTGCACTCAGTCTAAAGTCACAAATCTCAGCCTGCCCCATTCCACCCATTCCAGGTATGAAGGTGAATTTGCACATGGAAAGTTTCAAGGCACCGGGATCTTCAGTCGATATGATGGGATGAAATTTGAAGGGGAATTCAAAGATGGCCGTGTTGAAGGATATGGTAAGTGCGTACATCCACTGGCACTGCACATTTGTTGAGTTGTCGATATCATTTCCCTGTGCTTGGTCATTGTGGGATGTGTCTGTGCCTGCAGGGTTATTGACTTTCCCAGATGGAAGTCACGGTGTTCCACGGAATGAGGGCCTGTTCCAAAACCACAAGCTGCAGAAAAGAGAAAAGTGTCCAGGAGTGGTGCAGCGGGCTCAGGCTTCAGCCTCCGGTGCTCATAGCCTGGCACTTTAGAGTTCCAGGGCCCTGGAGGAGACACAGGCCTCAGGGATGGATGCTTCCCTGCAACTCTCTATTTTCAGTTTAGCTTTTGTTTTTGTGCACTCTCCTCCCCTTCACAGCAACCTGAAATGCAAATGCAATTGACCAACTTATAGCTTTCACGGTGATTGACTTGATGCAAGCCTTTTAACCTCACAAGTCACACATAAAGAAAATGCTGCTGTTTCTCATATTCTGATTGTACAACTGCAAGTGTTTCTTACATCAAACTGGAGACAATGAAGAGCTCTTTCGGAATCTTTTTGGTAAGCCCTTATTTTCGGTTAGATCATTGTACTGTAAAATGATTCAATCCATTCATTTGTTTGAAATTTAAAGGGCCCCTGAGAATACTTTGAAGAAAAAATGTTGTAAATATGCTATTTCCATGACTCTGTGGGGTCATACTTCCTAACAGTTGTGCTGCAAACCTTTCATGGAATCCATTTTGCCGCTGGTGTTTGTCCATTTGGAGACCCATTGTTCACGTTTGCCTTAAAGACTTCATTTTTGTACGACAGCATATTTGAATATTGTCCCGTGGAAAAGCAGATGACGCATGGTGCCCCCTTCTCCCCCTCTCTCGTAAATAACTTACTCTTATACCTGTTGGCCTGATTGTTTCCAAGCCGTGGCAGGGTGTTCACCCCAATTGATTCTTCTTTAAAAAAAAAAAAAAAAAAAAAAACTCCACTCAAACTGGAAATCACTGGAGGGGATATTTAAGTAGAGACTCTACTAAGCGTCTTTGAAAAGGAAACGTTAACCAAATGCATTGAATTAGGGACCTGAGTCCTAATATGGCAGCTGGATGATGGTATTTACATATAAGGTGCATATTTAAGCATGTAATGCTAAAATAGCTGTTTTTGTATAAAATAATTGTGATGTGTTTAGAGATGTTGAGAATTCATAAGTCATCCTCGTTCCTCTGTACATTACAGTACAGATAATTTCATTGTGCATGAACAGTTAATAGGCCTTACAAATCAGCGGTTTTACTGAGGTTGCCTAAGAATCCTTTAACCAAAGAAAACTGAAACAATAAAACAGGTAGGAAAGCCAAAATAGTTCAAAGTTGGTGTATAGGTTACGTCTTTACAACTGTGCGATGAAGACAATTAAATAAAAACTCCACTAAGGTTTCAAGCACACATGAAAAACAGGGCCGAAAGATTAAACAGGGATCTGATATGACTTTCTGTTGAGACTCTTCCTGAAATCAGTATATTTCAGAGGTTAAAATTGCTAGCCCATGCCAGTGCTTACTCTAAATAAATGTTTTGGTACATCCATGTGACAAATAACAGTACCCACACAAAATAATACTTATGCTGATATCAGTTTCACTGCCTCAAAGCATATTTGTGTCTTTACTTTATATTCAGGGATTGTCCTATTCTTAAATTTCACATCACATCGTGTTTCTTTCCCACCTTGTTCAAATCAGCATTGGCTTGTGGCATCTTTGCCCACTTACTTAATGCCTGATTGTAACTGATTGCACAAGGATCATTTTTCCATTTCTACTTCGAAACAAATGGTGCTTCAAAACTGTGCCTGTCTAGACTTTGATTTGCCTGGAAATTCTCATTGCTATGGTTACCTTTTTGAGTTCCATTTGAATGGTTTGTGAGTGCTCTTATAAAATCTGCACAGGGTCCTCACATAATCCTGGAATAAGTCCACTCTGTATCATAGAGGTGTGCAAATAAAGGATTGTATCAGAAAATAAACTGTTGTTGTCCTGCGAGTTAGTTTTGGGGATGTGCACATAAAACACAACAAAGTTGTCCCACTTAAGAGTTTTTCTGCCATTTTTTGCAACAAAAAATGCTAAATTGTGAGGGAGGAATTGATGGAAACGTTTGCGATACGGAAAAAAAAACAGGTTCTTCTGTATTTTGACTCAAATGCAGCATGAAACACAGCCTCCAGCTTCCCCCACCCCCTCTTTGTTACGCTACCTCACAGCAGTATGTAGCTTGTACTTTCATGTTTAATCGAAAACTGGGCAAATTCAAAGCTGTGAAACATGTAGTGAAACAGATTTCAGATCTGAGCTTGCTTAATTTGGCAATGTGTTGTAAAATCTGATGTATAATGCCAGGTTGACAAAAGGAAAGATGACACTCTTTTGCAAAGTGTGTCGCCTACTACAGTGTGAGGTTTGTGTTCCCTGACAGTTACTGTGCCTTGCCTAAAACAGGAAATACTGTGTGTGCCAGATAACACAACCAAGCTGTGCACACCAAGCACACATCAGAAATAAGTTTGTTTTTTTAAAACTACGGTACATATCATTTCAGGATTTGGAAGATACAACAGAACTAACAAATAACAAATGGTTAGTTTTAAAAATGACCAACTGTAATCATCTTTAAAAAAAGGTCCCTCCAGAGTATCTGTGAAACAGAAATTAAGTCATCTGAGCTGGCATAAATGGTTGTTTTTAAAAGAGGGAAACTAGTTATATCTGCCATCTGCTGATCTATCCTACTGGACTGGCCTTTTCCATCACTTCAAACAAACCTCCTGATGTTCACTAAACACAGCCTTTGCCTATGCCTCTTGACATAATTAAACTTACAACAACATCTGTTATAAGATTTGAAACATCCATTAGAGGTCCCTTGAAATTGTGAAGCTCCATGAAAGCAAATATCAAAATCCAAAGGCCGGCTTAAAGATTTTAGAAATCATGCTTTCTTCCCGCAGTTATATGATTTTATTTTAAGCAGATCTTTTCTAATGTCATCGTTCAGACTAATCTCAGGATTTGTAGTCATGCCCTGGAAAGGCAGATTTTAATGGAGAGCACATATCACATGTCCATAAAGGAATGCATAGACTCAAATCCATATCCAGCATTGCAGTGGAATCAAAGACTACATTTTAAAATATTTCAAAGCCCAGGTAGGAAAACGTGCTTTATAGAACAATGAAAACTAAAAACCAAATTACAGCAGAAGACATAACAAAAATAAGTTTGAGAATCAGATCCTACAAGGCAAATACAAAAATTGCCAGAAAAATTAAATTAAAAACAACAAAGAGGTTGCTTGCCTGCCTGCCAGAATGGAACTGTGGGATGTGAGATGTGGGATCAAAGTTAGCCAACGCACATTTCTACTCTCAGTCAGCAGCAACTAGTATTTGCACAGAAAGCCTGCAAGACCTGGCAGAGATTTAAAGGCCTTAAAAATTGCAGATCGGCTGTGTGAGTAAAGGCTGCACAGTGGGTTCCTTCTCAGGTTTGCTAGTCCACCAGCGGAATTAAAAATCACCTCTTCTCCGCTGGCTTTTAATGGCTTTTGTTTACTTACCCTACAATAAATTCTAGGTTGAAAAAATACAGGAATTGATGCATCTAATACTTATGTGGCATAACTCATGCTCATGAGAAAGACAACTCTTACTAATTGAATTTAATGACAGTGACGCTGCCTTATGGTCCAGCCAAAAATAAAGCATTATCTATTTGTGAGCTTCTGTGATATGAAATGCAATGTTTTGTTGCCATCCTTGTCTGTGAAAGTGACCTCATGAACTGCTCCAGTGCTCACATGCAGAGGAGGGCAGCCCAACTACAAAGCGCACACTGTGTGCTGCGAGTCATCCTCAGCACATACATGACCGCATGTGAACAAGCAGGAGGCACATTATCACCCGTGTTTAAGTCAGTCCTGTGACTCTCAAGGGTTTTAACAGCCCTCGGACCCCCCCCCCCGCCCGCCCCCTCTGCAGATGTAGTCTACGGCCAGGCAGCCCAGCTGAAGAGCAGCAGGAGGGCACCATCCTATTAGTATTGCTGACTTCAGGCCACCAGAGTCTGGAGCTTTAGTGTGAGGAGATAATCTCCTCCAATCTCATCATCATCTTTACAACCAAGCTGTGTGCTCACACATCTTACTTCATCTGCTAGGTTGATGTAAACTCTGCATTTGGTCATCGACAGTTCAATCTTCAGGAAATCTGAACAGCGGATATGATAATGATGAGAACGATAATGACACACTGAATCACGTATGTACATATTGAGAAGAATTACTGTTTTCTTTAATCCAAATGACTGAAAAGTAGGGAAACGCTCTACCTCATTGTGTCTTTATGGCTCCCACCATCAGCCAAATTCTTCTTTATCCTATTGTCTTTGTTGGCTGCATTCTTGGATAAATCAGCAGCAACAGACCTTGTCTGTGGGACGCAAAAACCACATCCACGCCATTTTAAGCACAAAGAGGCAGACACATTTATTATGTCCTGCTAAGCACACAAAGTGTGATTTTTGAAGATTGTGGGTGACCACAGCTGTTCCTGCACCCGTAAAGAAACATTTTCTCGACTCTTGTTTTATTCTTGCATAACTGTGATTGTTGTGACACAAATATTTCTCAGTTAGCTTCCTAATCTGGGGTCTAATAAAAATATAAGAGAGAGATAACATAGCTGTTGATAGGTGTGACTTACTTTAATTTAAAGGGCTGAGGCCTCAGAGGATTCCTGGCAGAAATGTCGGGCTCATGTTAGATCATCATGTTACATCAGCAAACAAGTGTGTTTGCACTCTGGTGTGTGTATGCATGCGGTGAGTATTGACCAAACCTGATTTCCATCCCCATCCCCTCCTTTTATTATAACATGAGAGATTCACACATAACCATGTAAAACTACATTGAAATCTATGGACTCATTCTGCATCCAGGGTGTATTTATTCCACAAACTCCCGGTTTAATTAATAGCTTTAGCTTCACTACACACCATTCTGGGAGATTTAGCTATTTGTTAAAGTTGAATTATTGTCAATGTATTTTGTGCAGTAAATATTTGTTTGATGGCAGAGCAGCAGCACAATTCATGAGCTACTTCTGTGCCTAATCTTCAATCAAATCAAAAGATTGTAGAATAACGCTTATTCTTCACTAACCCTTCCTTTAGCATAACAAACCCAACTTAATGTTTTAATGTCTTAAAAAGAAACTTAAAAAACACACATTCACACTCACATATTTTACTCCTGTGTGACTGCATACCGTGTTAATGTTTAACCACTGTTATTGACGGGAGAGGCAGAGTTCAGAGGGGTAAATCGTCACAGCAGCCATTTTAACTGAGTGGGAGCTTCATCTTATTGCTTTTTCCTCGAGGGATGGTGGACCATGGATTAATGTTGTCATTCAGGCTTTACTAAAAATCGATGCTCCACAGCAGAGGAAGTATCATAAAAGGCAGCGTGGCTGACAACTGACTGAAAAGTAGGTAACATGACACACTCTCATGACACTAAAAAGTAAAAGCTAGTTTCTCCTATGGAGAAAATCATTCCTGGTTGTTGATTTTGTGCATATGGAATTACTCAGATCACCAGTTGGAGAATTTGTATATGCTTCAGGTGGACGAACAAGGGCCATGGTGACACTGAACCACCTCAGCGTAGAGGATCCAGATGATGGCTCTCCGTTGCTGCCAGTGGCAGCAGAAACCACAGCTGCCACACCTGTCAGTCAGAGACAGCGGGTGGTTACAAAGACTGAGGCCAGGGAATTTTTCCTCAGCAGGTATGGTGTACTGAACAGTTTCACAGAGAGCAGGCACACAGTTCACACACCCAATGTATGTATGTCTATGTATACACATATATATATATCTATATACACATATATCAATAGTTACATGTTAGACAGAGCAGCTAGGTCACTTATTCAATATAAAAAGGAATCACATGTCCTCCTTTTTGATGCCATGCAGCCTGTTAATGACTTTAGCTTTATTCTGTTGTGTTTCCCTCTGCGCAGGGGGACGAATCTAACTAGCAGTTTGCTTCTCTTGATCGGATGCTACTTGGCTATACTCATTCCTGCATACTTCCCACTGAGTAACCTGAAAGCCGAGAGCAATGATTATCAGGAGCCCAGAGATTTGGTGAGGATACAGCTGAGCTTTAGCAAGCATTTTAAGAAATCTCTTTCTTCCCAGTTGACTTACTTTGAAGGTCTGTCCTCCTCAGCTCTTATTAAATCGGTCGGCCTCTCTGCTGTCAGATCCCTGCCAGCCTCGCTGGGGTCTGAGCCACCTCAAGCCTCTGTCCTGTTCGGAAGGCCTTCTGGACATCCCTGTTTTCGTGCAGCAGGACAAGCCTGCGGTGTGGCATCTGGCCCCGCCGCTGGGGCTCCGGGGCAGTGAGGAGCACCTGGCCCAGGCTCTTGCTGCCATGCCTCAGCCCGGTCTTCCTCCATCGCTGAAGAGAGAGGGCAGCTGCAGGCGATGCGTGGTGGTGGGAAATGGTGGCGTCCTTTATGGGAGCCATCTTGGATCCCACATAGATCAATATGATATCATTGTCAGGTATGCATTCAAAATATACAGTCGGCAGTTTGTGGTCCAGGGGCCTTAGTCTAATTATGTACAGTGAATAAATATAATAAAATCAAATGTATGATGATAATATACATATAAGTAAAATTAAGTAAAGGCTGAAATAAGTAGGTGACCTACTAGTCATGTGGTTTTGAGTCTTTTGAGGGACAACTAATTTCAGGGTATACACCTTAAATATATATAAAATTGTCTATTTAAAAAAGTATAATGATGGCAATGATAATTTTAACAATAGGAGTAATAGTAATGAATTTATTTTGGCTGCAGTTAATATGCGTATATGCATACATGCATATAATACATATATATATATTTTGTGATGAATTCAACTAATAAAAAGCATGTCCATTACCAGGCTTAATAATGCTCCGGTGACTGGATTTGAGAGAGATGCTGGATCTCGCACCACAATCCGCTTGATGTACCCAGAGGGAGCACCTCACTCTGTTAATGAGTACAGAAATACCTCTATGGTTGCTCTTGTGGCCTTCAAGAGCCTGGATTTGGACTGGCTCACTTCTGTCATCACCAAACAGCCCCTGGTGAGCCTACCCTGAGATGCAGTTCTACATAAGCCTCGCAAATGTCACATCCATTTAAGCTGCTTTCACAAAGTCACAGTCATGACTTCACACACTCTATCGTCCATGTTTGTTTTTTCTAAATAGAACTTCTGGTCCAAAATGTGGTTCTGGAGGGAGGTGGTGGATGAGATTCCCCTGAGCCCAGAGAGCTTCAAAATCCTCAACCCAGAAATTATTCATAAAACAGGGCAAGCTTTGCAGAGATATGCTCTCAAACATGGAAATGTAAGTTTTGACATGGCTGTTTGGTTACCTCATGACAAACCATGACACACATCAGACTCATGCCTGATGAGAAAACTGTAAATCAACAAGAATGCTGTTAAATAAGGAAATGGAACATTTAATCAGTATAAGCAAAGAGTTTGTGAAGATCTTTATTGATGAAATATAGCTGAACTGTTGGTGCTTTGGCTAAATGGATAGATGATGCTGACTGTGTCTTCTTAAAAAGATGGTGCCAACACTGGGTGCCAGCGCAGTTGTGATGGCCTTGCAGGTGTGCGACCAGGTGAGCCTGGCAGGGTTTGGCTACGACATGCAGCAGCCTGCGGCCAGGCTTCACTACTATGAGACCATACGTATGGACGCCATGAAGGCTCAGGTGAGTTTAGACATATGACCAAACACTGCTAATGATGCTCCCGAGTCCATGGTTCACAAGTTCTATTCAAATCATCCAGGTGGTGCACGACGTCAGTGCTGAAAAACTTTTCTTGAGGGAATTAGTGGCTGCAGGAGCTGTGACTGACCTCACGGGAGCTCTGTGAGCTAAGGCCTGATTACACACTCCACTCCACAGGCACTCCACAGTTGTACATGTGAGTCTGTTCAGAGTCCGCTGTATTGGAGAGTGCACAGAAAGCTCCCCAGCCTGGTCAAAATGACTGTAAATAATAATAGTAATAACAACACACTAAACGACAAGCTGTGTATTGCATAGACACAATGATCAACGGTTCAAACTGTGCTTTATCAATGTTTAATTTAAAATGTGTGTATGGCTTACAAAGATTAAATAAAAGAGTCATGGAAAACCACTGACATGTTTCTTTTTAGTTTTTAAGCAAAACCTGGCCATCTGAATATCATCAACATTGTATCTTAATTGCTGAAGCTTGCTAAATCTCCTGATGGCACTATGTCAAACCAAATAGTTTCTCTGGCTCATAGTGAACACAGAGTCAGGAGCTGAAGCCCAACAGAGAAGGGGGGGGGGGTGCGCGAGCTGTATCTTAACATTATCAAATTTTAGAAGGAATTCAGAAGTGACAATTTCATAATTCGCTGGTAGTTGTAAAAGTGAATAATCACTGCTGATAATGAAAATGAAAAGACAGCAGGAGGAGATTCCGCATGCTATACAGATGTGCAAAAAAAATCAAAACATTTAATGGTTACATCTCTGTTTAGCTTCCATCTTAAAGAGGATGAAGCTCTAGGTGTCCAAAGTGTCACTGAAACACATCGATACAACACAAACCCAAAAAATTGATACATTAAAAAATATATATTGTGCCTATTTTGCTTTTCAGAATTAACCTCTGAAAAACCTTTCAGTGATGAAGACTACAGTTTGAATGCAAACATATACAGCAGCTCATAAATAGTTTATAGTGACAATTTATAAAGGTATGCAAATTTTCCCCCAAAAAGGACATCATGTGACACACATGGTACGAGCTTGTCATGAATGTTAAGTCCTTCCAATAAATTATTTCAGGGTCCTTCATTTAATGCACGATACAAACGGGGGAACATAAACCTCAGTTGCAGGACGGCGTATCTATCTAGTGAGAGTGATCACGTGATCGACGCCTTTATGTTCTTGATGAAGCAACACTTAGCACCTTTTCAAATCAGCTTAAACGTGCGGCTCCCTCTACAGCAGCGGGTTGCGGGAGGGCTCCCACAATTTGCTTGCCAGCTGCCTGCAGTGCTGGAGGATGATCTCAGAGGGGATGACCCCGAGGTGCACGGTCAGGAGCTCGTAGCACTTCACCGTCCCGCCCTGGTGGTCCTTACTGTAGTACCGCAGCAGCTTCCTGCAGAACACCAGGATGCGCTGAGTACCTGAGAGACTGGCGTTTTAAGCCCATCACAACCATCCTCCACTTATTTGCTAACCTGTAGTAGTCCCAGGCCAGCATCCCAATGGGGGCGGAGTCATCAGGCAGGATGGGAATGTCCACAGCCTTCAAGTTGTACCCCTGATCAACCAGACAGGCACGATGCACTTAAATTTTGTGTGTGTCTGAACATGCTTACAGATATATAGGCAAAACATACACACAAATACATACGTATTCAATTGATGACACAGACATGGTGGGACTTACAGTTTCATTTTCGAACCACAGGAAGTAGCAGAAATAGAAATCTCCGTCTCGCAGCGTGACAGTGGAGTAGCCCTTCTGCAGATAGTGTCGGGTCGTCCTGACAAGTCCCCACACCTTCAGCATGGATTCATTAAGACATATTCAGTGAGATAACTTTGTTTTTCACTTAAAAACGATCGGCAATACAATGTTATGTAGAGCCAGTGAGCTAACAAACAATTGACAACAAGGTAGTAGCTCATTTACTGGCAAAACCCTTTTTCCCCCTAATAAAATCAGCATAAGGTAAGAAAAAAAAGTGAGCAGAAAATGATAAAGATGTCTATATAGCTATAGTTAACCAGCTGCTGGATGAGTAAATAAAGTATTGTTTGTGAATGTCTGAAGTTGTAAATCTACATTTTGAGAGGAAAACTGACACTTAGCCAACTGACTGTGGTAATGATTCAGGTCATACTCGTTCTTAGAATGTAAAAATGAAGATGCACAACTTATTTTCAGCACTTGAAGAGAATACGTGAGGAGTGCCGTCCAACAGACTGAGGGTCTGAAGGGCTCGTTCCAAATCATTGCAGTTTATCATCCAACGATAGCATCATTAATTGTAAAGAATGAGACTTGATCTGACCTTGCTTTTAATATAGTGAGCCAGCGGGCCCTTCCCCAGCTCCGATGCGGTGCGCTCTGTGATGCTGAGTGAGGGAGCAATCATATGGCCGCTGGTTCGGTCCACACAAATAAAATGGATGAGGCCTGGGTAATCCTCAAGGTATGTGAATGAAATTGGTTAAGAGTCATACATTTACAGCAGTGGGTTACTTATTTTTATGCACATAAAAAAAAAAAAAATGTTATTGAGACTTCAACAACTTGGCTGCTCCTCCAGGAACGATGCAAAGTGTGATTAGAGAATAATAATGTTCTCAGACCAAAAATAACTCTGTAAAGGGTTTTGCTGAGAGGATATGACACCATGGTGATGTTGCGCTTGCTTTTCACCAACAGGAAGTCCTTCCAGTCTATCAGTTTCTCTCTGGGAAAGAGAAAGACTAAATCAAATAAACAACCAAATAATATATAATTTAAAACAAATGATTTGTGAGTGAACCGATACACACTGGACCATGGTCTGGGCTCGCTCCTGCAGAGCGGTGGACAGGCGCCGAGGAGCATCAGCTGGTCCAGAGTCAGTCAGGAAACACTGGCGGTAGATGCCGCACAGCTGCGTCTTCATATTCTTACACCATGGGATAAGACTAAAACACGCACAAATTCACTCAAAGCTGCGTCAAGCAACTGCTGCTGTTCCCACTTTGGCCAGCAGAGGGCGGCACAAGACTTACTCCTTGCTGAATCCAGGTCCTCCTCTGGCGAAGGCTCGATTCTTGAACTCTGTCCAGACATTTTGTAGCTGCGCAGACTGGATAGAGAGGGAAGAAGCACACCGTGGATCCCCAGGTCCAAACAGTGAGTCAGTTTATTCAGGTTTAATATCAGTTTTAAAAAGTGGATTTGTAAGAATCGCCTTTATAAAAAACATAGAGGAAATGACAGCAACTGAGGAAAAACATTTAAATGCAGAAAATTCATTTCATTGTTTGGGTTTTGTTGAAAAATATAATATTTTTTAACAAGGGTGAGAGGGAATTTTTCAGAGGCCGAAGCTTAATTTAAAAGCTATCTGTTGTTGAATGGTGTCACACTGGTGAAAGATAAAACAACGTACCTGTAACTCACTTGGACCCAAGGCTTTAATGAATTTGTCCAGTTTGTTGCGGATGTCGTGGATATTCAGCTGGCTTCTCGCTACCGCAGAGCCTCCTTGGCCGTCTCTTAAACGATTCTCCAGCTTAGTGAAAGCCTCCAAAAACTTATACACTGAGATGGCCACTGCACTGGAAGGAATCTAACAATAAGGGACAACATGTATAGAGATATTATAACAGATGCAAACATTTTTACAAAGCCCAACTTCAATGAATTGTGTAAAATGTAAAGTGAAACAGACTACAATGGATGTAAGGTTTTCTTATTAAAGCTGAAATGTGTTGCGTGTGCACCCTCTACTGGCAGGAAAAACGTGTGAGGAGGAATTAACGTGTGTTCAAATCAAATGGGAAAGCGGACAAATGTTTAGCTGAACCGTTCTCCACCAACCTTAGTGAGCAGAACCAGTGTGATTCCGGGCCACAGAGGGAGACAGTACATGGAGTGCGGCATCATGGGAAACAGCCCATCCTTATGCGAGACCTCCAGGAAGACTCTGCGGGGGCTGGAAGGGTCCGGCGGGGCGACCTCCAGAGTGTACAAGCTGTCCTCAGCCATCTGCAGAGGTTGTTTTTGTTTTGTTTTTCTTAAAAGGGCTCGACCTGAACACAAATAGCTTCTTTCTTCCAGTAATCATCTGCTCTCACCTGGATGTCTGGGTCCACAAACTCAAACATGGGAGTGCCTCCTCTGCCCGGCTTTTCTGGTGACACATAAATAGATTAGAGACGCTGTAATAACTGTAATAACGGAGAGCAAATTCTGTGTGGGGGAAGCCAGTGACTCGTAGCACTTCTTTGTGCACATATGTCAGGGTTGAGATGCAGGTAAGTGCACGGATAAAAGTATTCTGCCCTTTTGAAATCGGAAGGTTCGAAGGCTCAGACGATAACGCACCTGAACCGTCCGAGTCTCTGCTGGAAGGGGAGGGCTCGGGGGTGTAAAAACTCTCGGGACCTGAACCAGATGTGCTCTCAACTTCCTTTAAAAACATTTAGAACAAGCTGAGACAAAAAAAAAAAAAACACCAAAAGAAAAACAGGAAGCCGCCTTGCTTTGGTACCTCTGGACTGGGCTCGTCCAGATCCACGTTACTGGGATACATGTTCTGCGCCATGATGATGAGCGCCAGCAGGTCTGAGGTGGTGAGCGTGCTGGCATTGCGGCTGCAGCGGGAGGAGAAAAGATCAGACGGTCTTATGCGAAAGCGCACGCGGAGACGCGGCAGCTTTCACGCAACGTGGCGCACCAGGAGTAGAAGGCCAGCAGCTTGGTGTGAACCAGGATGAAGGCGTGCAGCACTTCCTCTCCCGCTCTCTCCGCGCTGCTGTTGAGCTGCTGAACCAGACGGCGCTCCAAGAACTCGATGCACTGCTCACACAGTGTGGGATGGATTAACCTCTCCACCGCCTGCGGAAAGGGGAAACGCCGCGAGAGATCAGGGGGAGGTGAGATCCCAAGACCTGAGGGGGGGCGTGCTACAAATAAAAGGTCAAAGCCAGACTTTCTGTTTCCTGTGTGCATACCCGCCGAGAAACGAATGTTTAAGTGAACAATCTCGGGAAAACATTTATGATTTTGAAGGGTCCCTTTAAATGAAGTCTTACACCTGAACGGGGTAAAGCGCCAAACAATAGCTTTTAATGTGATGCTGCCAGGCACATTCTGAAGGCCTGACAGCGTCACAAAATATGGGACGTTTTTCTGTAAATGGTAAAAGTCTCTACTCAACTGTAGAGCTGTGCGTCTGAAAAGTGCTGAAATAAAAAAAAGATGAATGGTTTAGAAGAAATAAAAGGGAGACTGGTTGAAACTATAAAGCAAAACGACGAAAAAAGAAGAAGAAATGGCTCAATTCTCCTTAAAATCTTGTTCTGTTGAAAAAGAAAGGACAACATAAAGCTCAGCACCTCCACTAGGAAGCTCTGGTCGTTCTCTCGGAGGTGGCTGTAGGTCTCCAGGAGGCTCTGCAGCTGCTTCCACAGCCTGGACCTCTGCTCCGTGTCCTGAGGACGCAACCTGGTGACGGACAGCACGCGTCAGGCGGGGGCCGGATTCTCCCCGAACGCACCGAGCACCCGAAAAACCTCACTCTCTCCTCAGCAGGCTCCCGCTGAGGGTCACCATGCCGAACATGACCTCGATCATCTTCTTCATCACGTAGATCTTCCGCCTCAGGTCGTCCTCCTTCTCCTCCCCGTCTCCGTTCACCGCGATGTAGAGGCACTCGTCGAACTGAGGGACACAGATGGCCTTTAGGGAGCAAGTCCCGGGGTCAGGGCTGTGTCAGCTGGCCGCGTGCTCCGGGAGACACAGAGCCCGCTCTGACTCCTCAGAGAGGCTCACATGACCGGCACCGTGCCTCGCCGACAGGGGGGGAAAAAAGCCTGCATTCAGGCCCCGTGAAGCTCAAAGCTAAAAAAAAAGTAGGTCAAAAGGAATGAGGTCGCATTCTCCGCCGCGGTCCTTCCCTAAAGGCTACCTGGTGCAGCACGTAGGTGTGGTTGTTCTCGGTGGTGAAGGAGGTGTAGCTGTCCCCCTGCCTGTCCACCATGGTGCTGCAGGAGATGATGATGGGAGCGAACAGGGTGCTGACGATGTCCTCGAAGGCGGGAAGCTGGGACAGAGACGGGGGGGGGGGAAAACAAAAGTTACAGGATGTTCCAAGAGCCCGACGGAGCGCCGCTGCTCTCACCTCCTCGCCCTCCTCCTGAGATCCTCCGTACTGCTCCCGGACATTCTGCTGGAACTCCAGGTCGGTCCAGTGGAAGAGAACCTCGGCGCTCTCGCTGGCGATCAGCAGACTCTTCATGGGGACCAGAGGTGGGCTTCCGTCCCGCTTTAATGCGATAACCTATTCACTCCAGCCGCTCCCAACCGGAAAACTGGGAAGGAGGACGTGCAAAGAGCTGAAGAAAAAGAGCGGCGGGGGGGTAATGTTCTTCCCAAACATTTGGACTTCACAAACCTCCTTGTTCTAAGAAGACAGTAACCCCCGTCGCCTCCCAACTCCAACTGAAAAACAACAACATTTTAACCCTCATATTAAATTAGTCGACATTGTTTTCAGTTATTGGGTTAACCGACAATCACAGTAGAGAATGTAGGGGAAAAAGTCTGGTGGCGTTAGTTTGAAAGTCCTCTGCTAGTCACTTTTATGGTGTGTAACACCATAAAAGCCCAGAACTGCTTCAGCTGGTGTGGAGTTATGAGAGGAAAGCAACGATCAGGGATGATGTAAAAACTCCAGCTCCTGCACAACAGTCCATATTTATGTGTGTCCAAATATGTCTGCAAAGCCCCACAAAAAGTTGTTGTTTTTTCTGACAACTGATTGCGATCTGTATCTCGCATGTCTAGTCTTCGACTTTCCCAACACACCACCACTTCCTCCATTCATGCTGCTCTCGTTACTTGAACATCGTTCGTCCGACTCACTCAGAGGTCCTCGGACGGGTCTCGCCAGCATCCCCCCTTCTCTTCTCTTCTCTTCTTTTCTTTTCTTTTCTTTTCTCTTCTCTTCTTTTCACTTCGGCCCCCCTCTCCGTCACAAGACGATCTCCTCGGCTGCCCCGGCGGTCTGTGGAAGCTTTCCGCGCAGGCTGCTCCTCGCCTTGCACACGGCTTGTTTTTCTTCCGCACTTCGGCACCCCCGACGCGGCGCGGAGTCACGTGACCCCAGCAGGAAGTTTGCGCTCATCCAGAGGAGCCCCGCGGACGCGAAACCGGGGGCTGACGGCAGGGCCCGGGCCCGTGCTCCACTCCCCCGGGAGCCCCGTGCCCCGCTCCCCCGGGAGCCCCGTGCCCCGCTCCTCCGGGATACCCGTGCCCCGCTCCTCCGGGAACCCCGTGCCCCGCTCCTCCGGGATACCCGTACTCCGTCAGAGAGGGAGCCGGGCACGTGCCCCGGCGCGGGCCGCGTGACGGAGAGCTGCAGATCCCAGTTTGGTATTTGTGGAATGCAGCTGGATGATTGGGAATGAGATTAGGAGGTCTTGTGCCCTCTTTATTATATATTTTTTTTATTTGAGTCATTTTTTTAAATGACATTCACTGTATTTGTATTTGTTTCTTGTTGCTTTTAGGAGCAGCATGGAAACAGAGAGAGAAAACAATCAGCTTTGAATGCAATCCTGTGGTAGAATATATATTTTTGATATATGCTACCAATTATGAATAGCTACCAAAAGAATGAGACCACAAGATAGAAGCTGCAGAAATAGTCTAAATAGGAAAGTTGGCCCAACTCACCCTGAGGAGGAAGGTTAGGTGTTCGATCATAGTGAATGGCTCGGAGTTGAGTTGATGCTGCTCACATAAAAAGAAAATTGTCTGGTAGTTCAGAAATTTAGCCAGGATGCCCTCTGGATGTGTCCCTGCAAAGACTTCTCGAGTAGGGGATTCAGAACAGAACCATAACTCACTGGACTGACCTGTAAAGAGATGGCCGAAGAAAGTTTTTTTTTTTCGATTTTTGTCATTACATTTTACATCAAATTTGTAAATGAGGTTTGTATTATTCTATTAAGAATGTACACTATGGCTCCCAACAACATAACAAAATCAGTCCAGGATCACGTCTCGAGACGAAAACCATGAGAAGTCCTCCCTGCCTGGAACTGAGAGGAACTGGTGCACTTAACACCAATTATTGATTCAATTCACAGTAGTTTACCTCACTTTGGATGAAGTAAAATGCCTGATTTGTAACTGAAAATAACTGAAATATATGCATGAAGCGCTCAACAAGATCTGCAAGCACTAAACACTGCATGTGTAAACTAAACCGTACGCTCGCCAAACAGCATGCTGGTTCTCTGAGGAGGTTCTAATGGCTTCTACAAATCTGTGTTATATCATAATATCCTGCTCAGACTGTATGCTTAGCCTCTGAATGGAGCAAAGTAACCCCAAAGTAACGTAAATATTTATGTTTTATTAACCTTGCTTGTGTCAAAATGGTCAAAAATGCCAAGACTGCTATGTTGTGGGCCAAAATCTAATCTAGTCCATCAGTTTTCCAGGCTTTCTGCAGTCATGGAAGTCTTTTTAAAGCTGACTCCTGTATATATACAGAATAAACATCATGAAATCCTCAGTGTTTGCTAACAGGCTAGGGGGGGCTTGCATGCCTCAAAATGGATCACTCAGTATAAACAGTGTATGGCAGGCCTGGGTAGCAGTTACCTCTTCTAAGGAGACATTGTCACGCAGAAGTGGCCCAGGCATGGGGCAGTCCTAAATCACAATATAATTAGATTTTTTCAGAGGAATTGCTGCTTCAGAGTTATTTTAAAGTACAGGTTTATATGAACCAGAGTTTGCCAAACAGAATCGTTTTTCCTTGGACCGGACTGATAAGATCCTGGTCTGGTGGATACAATCCTCGGGACCGAGGTGCATGGCTTATCTCAAAGCTTTTGATGGAATCTAATGCCCTGATTTGCAGATAAAGGTGAGCAGAGTTAAACACATTTAAAAAGCACTCATGACCGATTTCTGCAGCAAGTGCAGTTCGTTTAGGTCTCCCTTTTTGCCCTGCCTCATCATGTCTGCTTCCTGTCACTGCTATGAAAGAAGGCATGTTTGCATATTCATCCGAGTGTACGCTGTATGTGGATTTATCAAAGGCCAGAAGTATAATGAGAAACATTATAGATGAATTGAGCCAGGTGTTAACAAGTCTGCTTTGACTCTCACATGTCAACAGTGTCGGCTGGTTTGAAATGAACCACATGTGAAAAGAAGCTGTTCCATTCGTTTATTTCTGAGAGCAAACGTTTCTGCCTTGCACATAAAAGAGGGAGTCTAATTCGCATAAGGGGAACTTAAAACTAAAATGTAATTTAAGGTTCATGCTTTGGCTCATGGCCTCTTTGCTGTTAATGACCCTCTTGTCATAAAAGATCAGTTCAGAAATCAGCGTCAGTGCGCCTATCGGTTAGAAAAACGCAAGATCACACCAACATCCTTCATTTCCCCGTCAGCACAAGTACGTGAGGAAGATCCTAGTTGTCTGTGACACCGGGCCCAGTGTGGCTCAGGTTTAGGCCGTCTGGGCAAAAGCTGACGTCTGGACTCTAAGCCCATACCGACTCCATGTTTCCCATCATCCGCTGTATCATGCAGTGACAAGACACCACTACAAAGGCTTGCTCCAGCTGCTTTCACATCTGGGCCCTCAGAATGTAGCCGTTTCTGCTGGTGTGTGTGTGTTAGTGTGTGTGTAAGAGTGAGTGAGTGCACCAAAAACAGACATTTAAACACTGCAGAATGTTTCTGAGAGGATGCTTCAAGAATTTGACAGTTTGTATTTATAGTCTCTCCGTACGAGGGTATTTCTGCTTCTCTTTGTGCTCTTGGGCACGTATAAATCACATTTTCTCATAACTTTGTTGCTTTTTTCTCCTCCTGCTTAATGTGCTTCTGCAGGAGTGTTGCGGTTTGAATGGTTAAAGTCAGGTCACATGCTGGGACTTTCTTTCAAATCTTCTCTCGTATGTGACAGAGTAAGCTCAAAGGGAAGTTTAATGAACTGTTGCCATACTTAGTGTATATCTGAAAGCGTTGCTATAAAGCAGACTGTGCACACAGAAAAACCGAGTACAATATGTGAGACTCACACACTTGGTATGTATTTGTGGATATTTATTATCAATGTAAACTTTTTTTAAAACAAAAAAATAATATAGGAACACTTTACATAATAAAATAATTGCTCTCCAAAACAAATATGAACATCTCTTAATTAACTATAAACACATTCAGAGGCAAATATTCTTCATATTTTTCCCACACTGAACCTGCTCTAGGTCATCTTCCACCATGTCATTTGTCTCGGTTAAGTTCAGAGCACAAAATGAAAGAATCCTTTTAGGCAGGGTGTGGTTTCAGTCTAACAAAAAAAAAGCCCCTCTTTAAATAAGATGGTCAAAATATAATGAAATAGACGTCAGGGTAATTAATTTCTCTGTATGGAGCTTGTGCCTTACATCCAGACCCACCATAATTTGTGTCTTGGCACCATTGTTTAATTATTCAGTGAATACATTCTTACATTTTTAGATGTTTCTGATTTTGGTTTGAAAAAAAGAACATTAATGCCAGTAATATAACTGGGCAATTTATTACAGTATGATAAAAAGGAAAAGCAAGTATTTTATCAGATAAATTAAGCACATACTTAATGTATGATATCAAGCTTAAATCTCTTTCACTCTCTTATGTACAGTACATCATCTAATAACATGTCAGTAAAACTGTACAAAATAAGTGTAAAATATATAAGGAATATTCCATACAAATTAAATCTAGCAGCATTAGAGGATTATAAAATGTAAGATGAAGGAGAATTGTTGAAATGCACCTGAAGAACTGGGATGTTAGAAGATTTTCTTTTTGTCTTTAACGAAACCCAGATTTTGTGTGGATACATTTGAAGGATAGGTTCACATTTTTCTTTAGCTATGTCTTACTGAAAAATAGAGTGTGTGACATCCCATCTGCCAGGATCTGCAGTTCAACAGAAACGTGCAGAGCAGACGTACAAAGGTAAAAGAAGAAACACAAGCTGCACATTCAACAGACTGAGCAGATTCATCAGTAGCTTTATCAACAGAGCATAAGTACACACACAAACAAACTGCACATGATTAGACTGCCTCCCACTCACCATATCTCGTTTTGTCGAAAGAGGTATGTATGGGTTTTTTTGTATTTTTTTGTAGGTCAGTTCAATTTTAGACAAAAAACATTTGGCAGTCAAAGATTTTAAGATAAAACTAAATGAGTCAAATCACTTGGACTGTATCTCTGTAACAACAAACTCATTTAAGTTTTAGGAATTGGGTCAAATGAAACAAAGTGTTCAGTGCCGCCCGTCGTGTCCGGGGCATGTTTCTATTGGAAATCCGATGGTAGTGTGAGAGCAACTGGGGATACTCATTTCTTGCTCCAGGGGTTTAAACACTGCGGCAGAATGTGCGCCTCGGTGTTAAGAGGCGGTTATTTAACCAGAGAATCAGGGTGCATTCAAGTGTCCATTCTGCTCAAGAGTGGATAGAAGCAAAACAGCAGTCCTCTCTGAACAGAGCTCTGGTTCTGAACCTGACCGTCAGACTGGTGGAGGAATGGTGGCTCTGCATCTTGGGAAAGAAGGGTTTCTGTTATCTTCGACAGGCATATGCGTTAATGTTTTTAATGACATAAAAACCTATGGTCATTGGAGGCATAGCTATTGTCCGTCCAGCCCTCAAAGTCTTGGGCTTCAACTCAGGGAACGTCTCATTGTCCCGCATGATGAGCTTCTCTCCGTTTAGCTGGACGTGTCTGCAAAGTGGAGACAAAAACAAACACAGCAAGAAAATAAAGGTCATGGTGTTTTTATTTACCAGAAGAGATTGCTGTCCAGTGTGTAGCCACATTGTCATCACATGAAGAGGTTGACCACTCACTGTCTGGTAAGCCACTGCTACTGTCTGACATTAACAAAAAGAGTCTTGGTGCTCTCAACCCTGTTGGATTATGATTCTGCCAGTTGTACACTTGGGGGTGCTGCTGTAACAAGTTTGTAATTAAACAACCACATAGTTTTATAAAGCAGGTTAAATCTCGCCCCGAATTAAACCCTACAAAAACAGTTTGGGATTAACTGCAATCAAATAGTGTATTTTAAAGGCTTAATGAAAATATTTGACTGCTCATTTAATTAGTGATTACAAATTAACCATGCATGTTTAAACTCTTCTGTACTGAATATTTTGTGTCTTAAAATTAAGCTCTGTGTAAGTTGCAAGTCTGTCTAATATTTGAGGATGTAAAATTTCACAGATAATTGATGACTTTTTGCAAACAACTAAAATGTTATTTTCTTCCATTCTTAATTTGGAATGATGACAGAAGCAGGAGAAGAAATCAGAGACAAAGGAGTAAAAGACGTGAAACACCAAGCGTAGTCCTCAGTCAGTGTCTTCAAACGTATCACACTTTCTGTTTTAACAATCAGCACTTCAATGAAAATGTTCTGCCGTTTATATAAAGCATTTTCTCCAGCGACACCATAAAGTTGATTCTAGTATTGAGCTTCAATTAAGTGTTCCAATATTTTTTCTTTTTTCACAAAACCAAATTCAATCAAATATCAAATAAAATGATGTTCAATAAAGAGAGGTTATAGGTTCAAATAAACTGTTCAAAGGTATCCCTTCAGCATACATTAGCATGGGTAACTTAAAGAGTCCCACCACTCAAAAGATTCAAAGACATCTGGAGTTGGTGAATTGATCATTAAAGTCTCATGCACTGCCTGTGGTAAAGGAAAGCACTTAAAGACAGAAAAGGGCACATCGTTAGCTGGCTCGCCTATTAATTGCCTCGCAATCCTGTTCTAACACCTAAAACATCCTCCATCATTATGCATTTATTGAGGGATCATGCCTGAGCCTCCATTAAGTCCATATGCTGGTATCGTATAACTCAAAGACAGCAACACACACACACAGTCCTGAGTCATTAGGCTGTTATTTCAGGATTTGAAGCTTAAGTCAAAGTCAAAATAACAGGCCAGGGGCTTAGAGAAGAGAGTACGAGACTGAAATCATGAACTTTTTATTTTAAGCAACATTTTAAGGAAATGGGAATGATCTGACCTTTCTCCAGAAAGTGTAATAAATCATAGTTGGCGTAATGACACTGAAAACAGTTCAGACTGGGTAAAAAGAAATGAATATGAAATTTAAAACAATCTCTTGATAAAACATCTGCTGAAGGATAGAAAAACAGACTCAAACCAGGTCACACAAACACACTAAAGCTTTATGAAGGGCTCTGTGCGGCGAACATTTCCTCTTAAAACTAGGTTGGCGAATTTCAGTGAAGTAGCACAATATAAAGCAACAGTCTGAATAAACAGCCTTGTTTCCAGCAAAGGAAAAAGGAAGGAACAATAAAATAAATGACCCTGTGCTTTAGCAGATTTTGTGGCTTTTTTTTAAAAGACTTGTTTCCGCTGAATGCAAGGAAAAGTATGTCTTTTAAGTGTATATTTGCATGGTTTTGTGCTGTTCATGTAATATGCTGGCTCAGCAATTATGTGCCACAGTCCAAAAATGAAATCAATTTTATTCAATGAGACGTTCAGTAGAGCCTGCTTTTAATACCCTATAAAACAGTGCTCATAAAGTTGTTTACAAAATTCTAATTTTCTCCACTCTTTTTCTAGCTTTCCCTCATCATTATCTTATTCAGAAATGGTATTTTCAACTGCAATAACACTCTCTATGAAAAATAAAAGTACTTGGAATCACAGCGTGGGCTTTTCAAAGTTACTTTTGTGTTAACGCTTTAAAGGAAGACCACGCTGGCGTCATGACTGAGTGTGTGTTTGTACATGTGTGCATAAATGTCCACAAAACAAAGACATACTAACTTGGCTCTGAGTCCATCTGGGCCATAAGGTTGCAGCAGGAACTGATGGACAGTTTTGTTCCGTAACGTCCCGGCCAACTTGATTTTCTTTCTCGAGCGATGCAGGTTGATGATGTAGATTGTTATGGATCCTCTCACATAGTTGTGACTGATATCACAAAGGAAATGATAAACAACAAAAAATCAATTTTCTTCCAACATTCAGGCAATACTATCAGGACATAACCTCCCCAAAAAAAGATCATCTCCACATCTGTTACTGGGATTTATTACATATTACAGCGTCACGTTGAATAAAATTTTCTATAATTAAAGATGACTACAAAGAGAAGAAAGTCTTTGATAGTTTTATCAGAGATAGAAATAAGAAAAAGCACTACTGCTTGATCTAATCTGGATCAAAAAGCTTGCAGATAATTTAAAAAGATAAAACATGCTCATAAAAGAGAAATTCAGAGAACTGTATTTTGGCCGTTATTGGTGCTTTAAATATATTATCTATATTATTATATATTATCACATTTAATTTCCATGGCTTTTGTCACTCCAGTAAAATCAAGAAAGTCTGCTTCTTACAGTATTGAATATTAAAATCCAGTGTTGTCTGTTGCAGGGTCAGATGAAGGGTGTGAACACAAAGGGCAACACGTCTTGAGTTACACAGACAACAGTGTTTGAGTCCCTTTACTTATAGGAAAGCACTGGGGACACAACATGATAGGCATACGAGCTAAAGGTAAATAACTAAATGAGACAGATAAGACAAACATGATAAAATCTAATAAGGGCCCAGATATGAGGACAAAGACAACACAGCTGTAGTGAATACCACATGTCAGCGGTAGTGTTCAGGGTCAGGGCTAAATGGTAGACATCTCCCTGGTTACTGCCACAAAAATCTCATATCCTTACAGCACACTTGGTTTTTTGGTTTGATGTTTATCTTTCTTTTGGGCACAGGGTCAGCAATTTATTCCACAACCCCTCCAAGAGTGCAAGTATTCATTCTATTTATCAGGAGAAATACAGCAGTGTACTGCTGCTGGAAACAGAGTGTCTTGCTCAGGGATAAAATCTTGGAGCCATGTTTCTGAGAAATATGTTACGAGTGTACGAGCGATAGATCCATTGGTTAGATGGAGGAAGAGATAATGACCTCTCAAGCCTTTCAAAAGATGAGGTTCTAAGGGACACAAACCAGGAACATAAACTTTCTCTGATGCCGTTTGATGTCTGAGCATCACTGGAAAGAGGAATAAAATGCATGCAAACCACTAAAAGGGCTAAAGGGGTAGTGAAAGTCAATATCTGAGCTGTAAAGACGTTTCAAACCACTGCCGGCCCAGACACATTTACAGTCCAGTCAAACCACCAAGACTACAATGGTTTGTCTACTCATGGACTGACTGTGTTCGACCACAAAGTAGCAGAATTAATGGCAACTGAACTGGCTTTGGATTTGAGAGGGAATTTTCAAGAGCCTCAGTGTTTGATGAGGTATCCAGAACTGATTGTTATGCCGAGAGGAGCCAAACGGCAGCACATGCCATCTCTTCACTCCCACATTCACCAGGTGACTGAGGGACTGGACTTGTTAAAAAATATGTCAAATATCGGCACATCTTTCATTCAGTGACTCCTGCCTTTTTATCGACCATCGATCTAGCGACTATTTTTTCAAGAGATGCTGCACCTGTAAACGAGCCCTGTCTAGGGTAGGCCCGTAAGTCTAGCCTGGTGCTGACAGCAGCTAGCCTGGGTTAAATGATAACCTTGAACAGGCCATGGTGGCACTCTTCATCCCCTCCAGGCACAGACTGCCTTATTGTCCCTCCCCCTCCCCCTCAAAGATCCCCTTCCAGCCAATCCGAGATGGGATAAAGGCCCAGCACACCTTTCAGCGGCTCTTTGACGACAAGGAGACAGAACTCACACACCTGATAAGTGATACCCGTTAGGTTTTATAGGCTCTCAGCTGTGAATGAGCGGGTGTCCACAGCCTGCTTATTTATGGGAAGCCAAAGGGGCTGGCTGGGGATTTTGTTCGTCCCCACCAGACAATCGGCCTCAGGTGTTTTTAGGATGATGTGGGGAGTTGTTTAAATTGCATCTGTTTTGCATCTAAATCTAGAGGGCCCTTTCCTAAATCTGAACAACAAACCTGTGTTTTAAGTGCTTTACAGTTATGTTTATACATACTTGTTGTAGCTGGTGCAGTGGGCGTAGATGCGTAGCTTGTCTCGTATGACTCTCCCTGGTTGCGGCTTCCTCTGCAGTCCAGCCACCCGCACAGCTAAAACCCTCGGACCGACCAGACGCTTGAAGATCAGAGAGAACCAGTAATCCTGTAAAGACAGAAACCAACACGCACACAAACAAAAACACACATTTAGAATTTTTTTTAATGAGAAAATGGATTAAATTTCCCATGAAAAATGAGAAAGGCTAAAAGTGTTTGTCGCTGAGTATAAAAACAGGCATGTTTAAAATATTCAGGCAAACCTAATTGGAACCCTTATTAAAATAAATAGCATTTTCTTCTTATTATTTAGCAAAAGATGTCAAATTCAAATAAGTAAACACTTTGACAGTCAAGATTTAGTTGATGCTGACTGCCTCGTGTAGCATGTCCCACTGCACCTCACAAACCCTGGCCCGTTTTGAATTGACACGTCTTAAATATGACGTTTTTACAAAATATTGTGCCACATAATAAATCGCTGTTTTCTGTTATCATTGTTGAGTTGTCCACTACTCTGACTCTCTCTTTACAGACTACTCAGACTCAACACCTCTCCAAGAGACCCAGAACAACATGTGTTCCTCAGGAAGTTCCCATGCAATCCTGCATATGGCAACATTTAAGGGCTTCTTTTTTCCACGCAGGCTTTAACTTAATTTGCTGCTGAGGCATCGAAGAAGCAGAGCACAGTATAGAGCGGTATATTGTTGGCCACGGCCAGCGGGACTGATGGATACATGTATATATGGCTGGAGCTATCATCTATGATTTCTACAAAGAGTATTAAACAAAGACCAGTTATGAATCAGGAGGTTTATTTGTGAAAGATGACCAGGGTGAGTCCATACTTTTGCTTTGCGTTTTAATCTATAAACAAAAGTCTTCAACCAATATATTCATAATGTATTCATATCTACGACTGTGCTAAAATGACTGAGCAGGACAGGGAAGTTGGTGTGATGTGACACCATTTTTTTTATTAGGATTTAAAAAAAAAAACATCAGCTGAACCCGTAACTCTTGGGCAGTCTGTTTGCCTGTTGTCTAACTGCCTGCTGTCTCCCCTGTCTGCTCCGGACTCCCTCCCCACATAGACTGAAAGACAAACATTAACTGCAGGAACAGCCATTACTTTGAGATCCAATCAAAATAGTACATAAACCAAGCTGAAAGAAAGACAGCCGGGCACCAGAAAGCCAATGACATAGACTCCAGATTGAAAAAAATGTACAGATACCAATCAAACCTCAGCTCCTCAGAGACGGAGGTAATGGAGGACAATAGCATTGCAAATAATTGCTTTGCGTTGGGTTAAATAGGACAAATGAGAGTTAGACTGGTTGAGAGAAAACCCGGTCATTATTGAAGTCAATGATCACAGCAAAATGACAGTATTTTTCAGAATCATCAGGGACATTCGACATCCCAGAGCCCACAAATAAGTTAATCACCACAATAAATACAGACAAGAGGGGTTAAAATCTAATTACTGTCATCAACAATAAGTAGAATTACCCAGATTAAAATGGGCAGAAGGGCTTCATTAAACAAACAACTTAACGCACCAAACATTTCTGCATCTCCTCACTAGTAATCAATCTTTCTTCACTTTCATGCAGGGAAAAGATGACTTACTGCCAGAGAGGCAGATATCTGTTCCTCAACGAATGGCTTTCTTACAAGATCATCCTCAATTCATTTAAGGAGTTTACCACCCACCTCCGGAGGCAGATAGCTGACACATGTTGAGAACAAAAACAACAAAAGAAAAGGAGTATGAGTGGGGCACAAGGGTAAGTACTAAAAAAGAGGGAGGAAAGGGGATAAGTGTGGAAAAATATGAAGTGGTTGAGTCATTTAGTGCACTTGGGACTTTCAGTCGATTCTACCAAAGGTGGAGTCATCCTATAGGGGAAGAGGCCAGGTCGTAAATTTCCCGTGCAGAGGACAGGTTGGCCCTGCAGTGAATTCTCTCAGCAGGTAGGCTCGTGCAGCCCTCAGACATCCAGCCATGTTAAAAGCATTGTGATCCTAGCAGGAGATCAGCATTCCCAGAAAAATAATGGGGATGAGGAGAGAGGAAAAACGAAGCCATCTCGATTGGTTAATGTCTTTTAGTTTGGCATAAATAAGCCCATTCCCACAAAAGCACTAATCAGCATTTCAGTGAAAAATGATTGTCCAATTTAGCAAACGTGAAGGTTTCATGAGCCCACATAACATTAGCAAGTAAAATAGTATTTTGGGACAAGCAATTTGCCATCTCACAGCTAAAATTAATCAAAGAAGTCTCTGTTAAATACTTTGATGTGATCAGCTTTATCCGTTATGGTGGGAGCAGTGATTTACACACTGTGTCAATAAAATAGGTCTTTCACTCCTTTTATGCTTCAGCTAAACATAAACTTTTAACAAAGTATTTAATAAATCTTTTTTTATGTCCTTGGCTCATTGCAGCACATTTTTCACTCCACCAGACTTGCAATTTACTTTTATCAGCTAAATGGGCTTAGTTTTGGGCTAAGATGGGACAAATAAAATACCTCTTTTAAAAGATCTAATTAGCATTTAATGAAAAACACATAATCATGACTTTAAAATTGCACCTATTACACAATTGTTGGAATTGTTTCTTCCCTCAGATATTGATTTTGCACAGGGAAGAAAAAATATGAGTACTGTGAACTGAGCTTTATGCATTTCTGTCCCTGCTTGACTGAACCACAAGCGAACTTGGCACTGGGCAGTCCCATTCCACACAGCATTGCAAGCCATTTTACTAACTCGCCTGTGTATCAGAATCTCAGGTTGCAGATCTCTCACCGGTCGACTGTCCCGCATAGAGAAGCATGCAGTGATGGGGGTAGAGGGAAGCACTGACACTGTCCTGAGCCACTGATAAAGGGCTAAGGTTACATGGCATTTCGCCCCCGCGTCTAACCTCTCATCACTACTAAATGCCTTTCATCTTGGCTAATAGCTCCCACGGGAAAGAGCGAGAGGTGCCATCGAGTCACTGGATCTTGTACAGAAAAGTTAAGATCCTAGCAGGACCGGTCAGGTCAGATGTTTCTTATGATGGAGGCCCTGACAGTCTATTCCACCTCAAACTGAAATTAATAAACTTACAGGTAAAGGGTTAAAATGCTGGTCCACAAGGTGTGTATATCCGTAGTCAAAGAATGAGTGACGTAAAATAACATCCATGCCCTGGACGGCAGCCACACCCAGCGTGTTCATCCATCTGGAATATATGTAAAAACACACACACAGGGCATCAGCCATTCAGATTACTTCAGTTATTAAACTGAAATACGTGATGCAAGCTGTTGTAGTTATGACTCACAGCGAGCATAAAAGTTTTTTGAAAAAAAAAACCAAAAAAAAAAAAAAAAAAAAAAAAAAAACTTACAGAAAGCCGGCAGCATATGTGTCAGAGAGATTACTGATGCCCCCGGTCCATGCTGGCGCTAGTCCACCCAGCCACACCTTCTTACCAGGAGTATGTGTGTTAACAACCTGCAGGGAGTGAGGAAAAGCAAGTGCATGGATCATCATCAAAGTCAGATATGAAATCAACTTTGTAAAAGATGGGTTGAATTTCACATTGAGATTTTTGCTCTTTCATTACAACAAAATAATGCAAGACGTAAATCTGGCGTCACTTCAAAAGGTGTGTGGGTTTGTTTTATGGATTTTTTAATTTACCGGCTGAATTTGAATTAAAGCTTTAGGGCTTGTCGCAAAGTAATTGTCGCTGAAAGCAATTAATGGTATTTTAAGAGCTTAAACAATGTGTTTATGGGCCTTTTTTCCATTTAAATGTACAGAACCATGAGGATGCACAAGGAATAGTAAGACACACATCACACAGAAACATAAAAACAATCTACATCCATTTTATGTAGAGCAATGACTGAATCCATGTGTGTGCACAAAGGCAGACATATGGTAGGTATTTCTCTATTCCAGATATTTAAGCTCTTTTATAAATTCAGCCACAAAAAATATTATAAAAAAGCAAGTTATTAAATTTGGTAAGTGCTAAAAAAAAGACAGTTTCATCGAAAGCGAACCTTAAATGGGCTCGGAAAAGTAGAAAGAAGGAACTTTAGTTCAGGTTGACGTGTCTCGGATCACAAACAGAAAAGCTGCAGAGTCAAAATGTAACGGGGGCTATAAACCATACGAAGAAGTCAAGCCAAAGAAACACATCGACTTCATTAAAAAAAATCAAAGGTAAATCAAAGTTGTTGTTTTTTTTAGTCCAGATATGTAAATACTAAAATGTAAGATATAATTCAGATAAAGAAAACATATTTTGTAAAACAAGCTATTTTGCAACTATACTTATAACATCATCTAAGAATAAATCAAATTGATGTACCAGTGATTTTTATCCATACACATATCATATTAAATAGGTCAGACTCTTGATCTGAGTGTTACTTCTAGAATGTAGATTTGAAATTATATTTAACCATAAATAGACAAATACTAAATACTTTTGGCCTTTTCCTTGAACCATTTATTGTTTCAAACCAGCAGGTGCCTTCCTAATGACAAAATCTATTCACTGGATGAATGAGCCATAATTTGGCAACCTCAACAGAAATGTTTTTCACGATTATCGAAGTATTTCTTGACACAAAACTCAGGTGATCTAAAATAAAAAGGTTTAATTGAAGAATACAATAAAAATAATAATAATAATAATAATAAATAACTATATATATATATATATATATATATAAATATATATTACAGTACAAATAAATTGTATTTGGAGTTTAAACCTTTAAAAAAACACAAGTACCTTGGTGACTTTGGTAATTTGCTCTGTCAGGGTATCCAAAAGACGCGTTTTTAGGAAGTCCTCTGCTTTGTTCACTCGGCCGTCCATGTAATAACTTTAAAAAGAGAAATGCAGGAAAACAATGTGATAAAAACATTCACAATAAAAATATATATTTTTAAAACTGATATTAATACAATGGAAAGCTAAAGTCAAGATGGTGAATATAAAATATTAAAAGATTTTGTATCTGAACTGTATCATTAAAACTGTACTTCTATAACCATTATATAGAAAAATTTGTTAAGTAAAACATTAAACACACACGAGAAACATTAAAAATTGCAAATTAAAGTAGAGTAGTTTTATGTAAAATGTACAAGTAAAACATAGAGATCAGGGAAACTTTAGAATTCAACGTGTGAAATCTAATGCAATTCCTTCTCACTACAAAACCATCTCATGATGGTTCAAGCGCCATGCGTCTTTGAGTTTGGTATGACGTATTATCATAACTTATTACACAAGTAGTTCAAATAACACTTCCACTATAAACAAGGAACAACTTCACAAATGCAGCACCAGCAAATGATCCCCAGTGCTAACTGTAATTCTCACTGGTGTAAACAATATGTCAATTCACCTCACTTTGATATGTAGGCTCTGACAAATTCAATTTTACTTCAGTGCATCGATACTCCAGTTCTGTGTCAAAGTGTGGGATTGCGTAATAAAGGAACTGGAAGCAATAGACTTTTCAGACTGAGAATGAACAACAGAGAGATCCATCTGCGATAATTCTGTGTGAGGGAGATAAAGACACAAAGAGAAATGAAAATAAGAGATGAAGTTAAGAGAGCACAATGAGAGAAGAATTTATTGATGTAGCCAAAGACCTGAGGAACATCACCCTGTGGGCAGACCAAAATCCTCTCCAACATCCGCTGCAAGAGTTCAAGGAAGCAAAACAAGAGAGCAACAACCACACTGTAGTTCAAGTTTCAGGTACCATATGGAAACATTAACATCTTAGTTACACTGCAGAGGAGAGCAGAAAAAAAGTTCCATCAGTCTTGAAATCTAACTGTAATATTTCTGGAAACAAATGATAGCCAATCAGTCATCACAGCAGCCTTCGAAAAACTTAGCCGAAGAAGAAATTTGGAAATCTGAACCTGCTATAAGTCACTATAATAGAAAACACCTTAGAGTCATTTAGAGTTCACTAGGCAACCGATCATGGTCACGATCGTAGTCGGGTCACTTTAAGTCTCACAGCTTTTTTTCCCCCAGCATTTTGTTAATAGATAGGGAAATTCAAAACCAGCCCACTGTCAGTGGTTCCATGTCTTTAAGCTGATCTAGGCGGGCCCCAGTTTACTTGCTCGAAGAAATATTTATCAAGGTAATTTGCAATACCTATGAAAGTTTAAAATGCTGATCTCATCATGAAGCTATAGCACACACATTCAAGGAGATTAATATCCTATTATTGTACTATTGTAGTACAATCCCACAATTAAGCAAGACTTCCAAAGACTGAGGGGAATAAACAACAGGGATGTCTTCTACCAGACATCAACCTCAATATGATTTACCTGAATTTTGTACATTTTCACTTTGTGTCATAATATACTTGTTGACCAATACACATTTTCCGTACTTGTGCTGTGAACTAATTGGAAAATTGTCACATATAAGAGATTCATATAAAATATGATTTACTTGTGAAATTCCTAATAAACAATGTTACCAAAAATATCAGTTTATCTAATTTTCTTTAAGTTAAAAGCTCTACATTTTTTCATTTAATCAATTTATGTCATCTCCCACCATAAAAAAATCACCTTGCAAAGTGCAAGGAGATGCTAAAATGTATTAATGTTTTTACATTTTGATGATGAAAAAATAAAGGTGCACACTCCTGTTGAACCCGTTCAGGAAAAGTGTGCGACAATGGCAGATGTGTCAACAAAACTGAGGGGAATACATTATAACTGAGTTTGTATGGATTGAAGCAATGTTGCAATCTCAGTTTAACCTTGCTGAAATTTTCCTCATAACACTGGACAAGCCCCAAGCTCCTGGCCTCAAACTGTAAACAATGCATGGATTAAGTCATACAAATTATTCAAATTATTTTCTTCGTCCTGTCATCTTTCCAGAGAACTCCAAATGTTTTCAGTCCAGATCACATGGGGAAAAACACTCCAATTTCATCATAACTAACTGAATTTCAGTGGCATAACATAAAAGTTGGATAAAACATCTCTTATAAACAATAATATTCTGTGGCTAATTAGATACTCCAAAAATAAATAAACACAGAGATTTTTGGGCATTTTACCAAGATTTAAGGGATCTTAGATTGTCATTGAAGTCTATCCTCCCGAAGAAATACATACAACATTTCTTTTGTTCATCTCATATTTGGCAAGATGCTTACAGAGCTAGATTGACCAGAATTCAATTAAATGCAAAAATGAACAACACTGTGAATGTTCTCAGAGGAAGATCCTCTCGGTCAGTTTCTTTTACACAGCTTTCTCCAAGTGCTAGCACCACATAAAAGACTTAAAGAGTCCTAACAAACATTTTCAACTCTCCTCTAACATGAGAATATGGTGCAGAGTTGTGATAAAATCAGATGGGAAAATTAAAAGAGGACAGGGAGAATATCTATTTATAAGAATATTTATGCCAAATCTAATATAGTTAAATTATGTACTTGTACTTTAAATGCAGTTAAATAAACTGTACATGCACTTAAAGAAGAGGTACTCAACATACCTGATTCACATGAAATGGAACTATTCAATACTTAACTAATGAACTTGCAGAAGTACATTTGCAGCATCCATCTGCTGTAACAATAGACTTAGGGTGAGCTGAGGGGTAACAGAGAGACAGGAGGATGTGTTCCTTGATGTGGACCAGAAGCTCATCATCAGCTCAATCAATCACGACCTAACAGCTGAAGGATATGTAGCCTCCCTCGGGAATTCCATCACAAAATTTACAGTCCCTTGGTGAGTTTTCCTCTACAGGAGATCACAAATCTTTGCACACCTCTTTCATCGGCCATAAGTAAGAAGCACACAAGGCTCTCTGGGATGATCATTCTGACGGATTGAGAATAATGAAGGCATAATGTGTCATCCAGGGTTGTTTGAAATATGACAATGTACCTGCTAACAATAAAAGGATTAACATGCTCATCATGCTCTAAAATGATTCAAATAACACACGCTTAAAAATAAAAAAAAAGGTGAAACACTCCAACAAAACTACCCAATCGCAGACTGAGGTCAAAACTGTTAGTAGAAAAAGTGCTATATTTTCAAAGTACCTTAGTTTAAGAGTGCGAGATTGCTTGTTTGTTCCACACAGATGTTCAGCTTCACACCACTAATACCTCACTGCTGGAACAATTAGGTTCACATTATGTGCACTGCTCAGGGGCATCTGAGCAGCAAAGCCTCCTACAGAAAGGTAACTTTGTCTCATTCCCTTAACTTGCTCATACTTTCACAATTAGAGCTGCCTGGATTGTTTAAAATCTCTCTCCAGGATGCACCGCCTGTAGGTAAGACTGTACATACGGTTGAAGGGGCTGGGTGTAGTCAAGTGTCGGATTGAAGTTTATGTTCGTCTAAAACCACAAATGTCAACCTCATGGCAGCACCGGAGAAAGAGTCAGAGAATCAGCACCAAGACTCCTCCTCTGGGGACCATAAATGTTTGTAAAAAGTTTCACAGCAATCAATCAAATACTCAGAGGTTTGCCAGCTTAGACCAAAGGGGTGCTGCCCCTCGTGTTAGACAAACAGCATGGTCAAAGAAATGGCATTTAAAATATACCGAGAACATGGATCTCCAGAAGCAAAGTGATGTCACTATCAGGAATGCTTTGCAGTTTAGTCCTTTTTTCATCTAAGTGGAAAAACAGCAACAACTATGGAATCCGGCACAAACTGTATGCGTTTTCTTTAAGTGGAAAGGTAGATCAAAAATTAAGAAAAAGGTTTTCCACTGTGATGCGTCGTTAGAACCAGATTTAACTGGCTTAGATTTTCCTACATTCCAGTTTTCCAGTATGTTTTTTTAATACTGGCAGGGCTGTTTAGTATCCAGTCATGTTATTGTAATGCATACACATTTTGGGTTGATGATTTATAAAAACAAAATACAAGAAAGAATTACAGGTCTGTATCTCTTTTTATTTCTGTGCAAACTGAGAGCCTGAAGATCATAGTCATTCAGCAATGTTTTTTTAACCGTTTCATCTGCTCGGTGATTGTTTTAAACTCTCTGAATGTCATTATACCCCATAGATGATTGAATCCTCACATTCTTTACTATTTTAGCACAGTACCATTTGTTTGAACAGTCTTTCACAGAGTAGGGAATGCGGGTCTTTCAGAAGACGGGGGAAATGGAGAAAAAAAAATCCAGTCAGGCCAGTATTTTTGGAAAAATGGGATCAGACTATAAATTCAGGCAAAACATTCAGACAACAACTTGCAGAGATGGGAAATATGGGGGGAAGAAACTAGAAAGAGACAGAAAATAAAGGGAAAAATAAACATTCTTGTCTTTTTTTGGCAAATTTAGAACTGGATACTAGTGGGTGAGACAATATGATCCAAATGTGTAACTAAAATATCACAGATAAAATAAATAATTATCCTAATTCAACAATTAATTCTTTTCAAACTATACTTTAAAGATCTACAGATATCCAAATTTCATCACCTGTGACTCCGACAGCATAGCTCTAACCACAGAGTACAGACGATTTTAAATCAGTCTAAACCAGTTTATAATGACTTCAGTGCTATGACTGATTAAACCTGAGACAGCTGCAGTAGAGTAAAAGCTGCACCACAGACGTGTTAATGAGTGGGCTCCACTTTTGTTAGGTTGGCTTCTTTATAGAGGTCAGAGTTTCTGTCACGCAGGATGGTTAGACTGGAATCTGGGCCTTGAGTGTAAAACAAGCTAATTGACAGAGGGAATGAGCCAGGGCATATGGTTTGATTTTAACAGTGTGGGTGGTGTTTTTCCAAACCTTACTGACAACCCTACTACTTTCCGTTGCTTCCAATTTCTCCTAATTAGACCTGACCTTCACCTTAATGACCACTCATCCAGTCACACAGGGTTTTTCTGAGCTCACAGTGGGCCTGAAATTTAGTACACACTTTACCTATGCGTGTAAAGAGGAACAGATAGAACCTGGGGGAAAAACAATCTAACCACTGATACATCTGCATGCATTCCTAAATGACGAGCAAAAGACAAATAGCAGGTGGTACTTGTTGCATACACATTTAGGATCCTTCTCTTGTTGTTCCAGTTGCATAAAAATAGTTATTATTATTCGTCATTCTCATACAAAAGTGCTAATAATAGTTGTTAATTGCTATTGCACATAAACAGTATTCAAACAGAGCTAAAATCACAGAGACATAGATCAGTTGTTTGTCTGAACAGAATTGTTCATTATTGAGGACAACTACAATTAAATTTGGGGCTTTTCTTTGGACAACATGATAGAATAGAGAAAAAAAGGGTAAAATACCTACTGTTGCCACGTAACAGCATCTACAACGGAGCCAGCGTTCTTCATGAACCTTAAAGTCAGAAAAAACAAGAAAAATATACATGGTATTCAGTGTTCTTCACACATGCCAATATCAGATTTTTACAGCTCCAGACACATTCACACAGTTCATTACGCTTATTGTAACATCGTGAGGTGCTACCACACGTTGATAACGTTTGTATCTGATTATCATTTATGCCATGAGTTGACTCCTCACTTAGTTTGAATACACAGATGAGTTCAACGGAAGTTATTACCATTGTTTCGCAAACATTTTTTAGTGTTATGGTGAAAATACAGTATATGGCTTAAGTTTTTTTCAAAACATCAGCCGTGAGATTTGAAAACCTGTACAAACATCATTAATTTAGTACTTTCCATTATTCACTCCATTTTAATATTATTCAGTCAGTGTTGAACATTTGACGGTGTCCTACCAAACCAACATGATTACCATAAATGAATATCAAAATCAAGTGTGGCTTCATGCTCCAGTTTGCGGTGTCCCGTTTCCGTCTAGCATAAGAAGACAGCTTTAGCTTAAGTTATCATAAACTGTTGGTACTTTAACAAAAGCCAACCTCCATTCTGAAGCTGTGTGGTAAAACACTGTTAAAATCACAAAAAGGAGAGAAAACACATTAAAATGTTTTAAACTATTTGGGTTTTTGTAGCTAGGGCTCGTTAACTTAATTACTCTCACATTACAAAGTTACAAAAAGGTAAACCAGGCCTTCCTTTCAAGGATTCATCCTGTACCACCAACATAAACAAAGCTTTTCCCACTATCTGATATCCGCCATCTGAGCCATTGCATCTGTGTGTGCTTCTACCTGGTCCAAATCTCTCCATATTTGGACGTAGCAGCATGTCGGACATGTCTTAATGTCCGTCTCTAAACATCACGTCACAGAAACACAACTTTCACCACTGCGGCTTGTTTAGTCTGTAGAGCTCTGATATTTAGTCAGTTAGGCACTTCAGCAGCAAATTCAGCTTATTTCCTGAGAGCCCCAAAGTGGTTGGGTTGTCAAACACAAGAGCCACCTCCTTGTAACAGTGTCAAACACACAAGAATCGTCCTGTCATTAAATGAGACACCGGTGACCCGTGGATGCTCCAGCTCGCATCCCCTCACTGCCCCTCATCTTCTAGGACCACCTTCTCTCTTAGAACTCTGCTCATCAATCACTCTGAAGTAGACATTGCTGCTGTGCACAAACACACATTTCTTATCTGTAGTCATCTTGAACTTTAAGCATTTTGTAAGAAAAAAAAAGATTTTTTAATGGTTTTACACGTGTGAGAAGCTCAAGTACAAGGAGACTCACATCAAACTGTTATTCTACCATCATCTTCCAAATATCTGTCAGAATGTGTGTGGGTGCAGCCAAAAGCTGGGAAGAGGTTTAGGTTGGAAAATGCTGAGATATTAAAGTGTTCCTGTGCAGGCACCTACACAAAAACTTACATCCGTCTGCATGAGAAAGCACTGTCATTTTAGTGCATTCTGGACTGACTTTATGGATGATATTTTGGTCAAATGGAATGCTGTTTATATATCCATATCCAATCTCCATAATCTTTAAATATCTTGTTATCTTTGTTAAACAATCTCTTTATACTTCATTTCCTTTGTAGCAGCCTTTTGGAGCATTTCCTGCAGCCTACTAATGAAGAGTAGTGTTTTATCTGCATGAAAACTGGCATTATACACACTATTTTTGTATGGAGGCTTTTCTAAAGTTGTCTATGAAGCGTTTAACAGCACTAAATGAATTACAAATACTAATCTGCACGCTATTTCACTGACTTGTAAAATAAACGCTGTCAGAATTTGGTACTGACCGAATGCTCGAAGAAACTTGGCAGGGACAAAAAGAGGGAAAAGAGAAAAAAAAGTGACATAATTTTCTAGCCTCACCATCATGTGCCAACAGATAAATATTCATCAAACAAATTTAATTTTAAAACATATCTAGTAGATTATGTAATAAAAAAGGAACAAACTGATAAACATTCATCTGTCCTAATCTGTTCACTTATATATAAATACAGTTAATTTGGTCTTCGCAAAGAAACATTTTCTTTATTTTCCTTTGTCTAATCAAAATATGATTAAATTCATTAACAAATTGCAGATATTTTTTACCTGGAAAATGGGGTTTATAGCTCATAAGACTTGTAATATTCCTTTAGGTATTTATGCTGATTAGATAAGGTTGGGTGGCAATTTAATAATTGATTTGCAATGCTTATAAATGACAAGCCTACACACATACACAATTAAAAGACTGCATGTGCCTGCTGTAGATGTGCTTTCCTCTGATCTGATGGGCTGAATGTATAAAGGTTAGCCTGCTTTTTATGTAAAAATTATTCAAATCAGTTTCTGTCCCGTTGATAAAAAACTGTTGATTCCCAAACCACATATAAAACAAAACTTTATATGTTAAACGGTATGACCAAAACAAGTTGTACTACAAAACAAACTGCAGCCGGCTGCTTCTGAGACAAACCAAACCTGCAACAGCTTCTGGCTGGAACCAGCAGGTGGGATTTTGTGCCGTCACATTATCAGTCAGATGACACTTTATTTAGGCTGACTTGGTATAAGTGGAGCTGAGACCCTAAAACCTGCAGACTGGAAATCCATAAACATTCGAGCTCTGATACATTGTGTGTGTATGCGCGCATGTGTGTATTAAACAGAGTAAAGCTCCATAAAGTCTCAAACTGCTGCAGCATATTTTCCACTACCTTCCCCCTTTTTCCCAGCAGGATAGCCTAACAAGGAGTGGAATCCTGGCCAATCATTGTTGTACTCGGTGACTCACCCATCCAGCAGCAGCATGGCATTCTTCCGGGGTCGTCCTGCGTTGGGGCCAAAGAGGTGAGCTCGGTGGTAGTAGCGCACTGAATGCAGAAGGGTCCGCAATCTGGTGTAGTCCTGAGCCAGTTGAGTGCTGTTGACGGCACGGCCCACCATACTGCGGTAGGCATTAGGCTCTGGTGAAAGGAGATGCCGTACAATGAGCCGGAGAGATAAAGTTTACACAAGACAGAGTGGGGAGGGGCAGTGAATATTGTTGTTGCAGTCTGATCTTGCCATCTAAGTGTATTTGACAGTGTTAAAAAAAAGAATAATTGGGCAATTCGCAGTAATGTAGACGGATGGACTCGGTGTCAGCGGAATGGTCCAAGCACACAGGGTGGCCTTGTAGATCTTGAAGAGCAGAGTAGCTACTTCACCCAGAAGGAGGAGCACTAAACTTTTGAAGACCTACTGCTGTTTAACAACTCAGAAGTTTATTTTCTACCTTTCATTCAACCTCTATAAATTTGCTTTGTGACTGCACTGCTTGGGCAATTTACTTGAAATTATTGCTTTTTCAATGGTTCAAGTCCTCACAAAAATTTTTAGATGTTCAGAACAAAAGAATTTGGATGTTACCTACAGGAATAAAAAGATTCTACTGCGTAAGTCATAACAAATAAAAAGAACAATTTGCAACAGTGGAGCACTGTTTTTTTTTATTAGTGAATAACCCTCGGAATATCTCTAAAATGCTAAACTTATTCTGACACTTAACTATCTGTATAAATAGATTTCACTTTCAGTTTAGAAGAAAAAGGGGACTGAAAAGTGGCAAAGTATCCTAACTGCAAATGAAAATAATTCTCATTTTTAATTTAGCCAACTTGACCGAAAATGACAGAAAATCCACCGATATAATTTTTTCTATTTACCTTGAGAACAAATGGGATCCAAAAAAATTAACACTAACCTTTTTTCCACAAAAATCAAAGTATAAGTGGCTATATCTGTGGATGAGCAACCAAATGAGGAGGACACAGCCGAGAAGAGCACACTCAACAGCTTTATTTGTACTAAAAATTGTAATGTTTTAATGACTACTTACACGGCAGCATGCGTATGCTGCGGTACTGACCGTTGCCCAGCTCCCAGGAGATGTTGTACTTCTTGCCAGCGCTGTACTTCAGAAGGCTCAGTGTGGATGAGGTGTTCCAGGAGTTGTCTGGGTTTCTGTGCAGCGCGTTGAGCCCCAGAATCAGGTGCAGACCAGCACAGTCGGCAAAGTTGTACAGTTTGTCTAAAGACCTGGCTGGGAAAAATCCACAAAACAGTTGTAACTTTGATTCTTTTCATTCATCTGGAATCATATGACCTGATGAACATGATGGAAACCATGTGGAACTAATGGATTCACTGATACATGAGCCCCATACTACAAGCGGGAGTATAGCTCTACATCTAACGTGCTTTCTGTACCACAGTTACTGTACAAGTATTTGTAGCCAGTTGTACCGGGAAATCTGCTAGAATTTGTAAATGACTGAATAAATCTGTGCGAAAAAACTATGCAAGGCAATCCCGAAAAATATGTTAATTTGCATTTATGTACATCTGTTTGGGTCTGTAACAGGTCACCATGCAGTTTTCTGTTTGGCAAAAATAATTTTAAAAAGTAACGTCTTTAAACCTCACCAGGACACGAGCCAAAAATGTTGGCCCCAGAATGCATCTATAATGAATGCATTGCAGTTTTGTTCAACCTTATCTAAGCCCTATTTTTTTTTTAGATTGTGTTGCTTTTGAGCATAAATTGTACATGGGATTATTCTAATAGTTTTAAGTAGTTAATCTGCAAGCAAATATTTGCTATTTATATATATATATTTGCTATTTTGCTCTGTGCAGATTTCAAATGGAAAAACAATTGTCAAGAGAAAGAAAACAAAACAAAAAGAAAGTGAATACAATTTCTCAAAACCCATCCCAGTCCAAAACCTTTCTTTGATTAATCCACTCAGATGTTATTATTAGTGATCAGCACAAATAAAAATAGATTTTGCCTGAGCAGGAGATCTAATATACCATAGTAAGAAGAAAACAAACACTTTGTCTGCACAGGACAAAGTGTAACTAAACCTGTTAATATCAATGGAAACTTTACAACATGAATTCATCTTTAGTGAAAATCATGGTCTTTTGCAGATGATTGCAAAGCCACTTCCACCTCTTTAACTTTACACTAATTTTTTTTTAAATCAATTCTTCTAGCTGCTAAAAAGCATAACAAAACAGACAAATCTAAGCGTGCATGAAGCCGCTAGACACACAAGGGCTTGTCTCTTCAGCAGTGACATAATTCTTCAAACCAATGAGTAGGTAGAACAGGGTGTAATTGTACGAACACTTGAGATGTATTTCAACCAACTGTTCACAAGTTGTTAAACCCCATTTTTGAGTTTGAGCCTCCATTAGTTTACGACAGCAGAGTTTCTTCTTCAACATTCAGTGAGAATCCAGACAGGCTGATTTTCCCATCATGGACTCCTGTGGTGTTGTGCCTCACAAAGCACCAAACCCGGGACTGTTCTGCTATGCAGCTGACTGCTCACTCACGTTAATGTCTGCTGCCTCCATTAGAACATCTTCTCCCAAAGCAGGAAAGTATAAGGGCCCACCACAGATGCTGGCATATGTGAAAATACCAAAAGCATTCATTCCTATATAACGTGTGACTACAAGCTGCTCACGGATCCTAGCTTTTGTTTTGAAATTGAATCCGTTAGGAGTCATTCCATTAATGTAAATATTGCCCTGAACTGCGACTTTTACTTCCTAGGTTCAACAGGAACCAGATGAGGACTGTATTGATCTGGTTACTGATAGAATTTGCCCTAACCTCTGGGTTTGGGACCTGCTGAGCTTGCCCAAATTGTACCTCCTCCAACATAGCATGAGCACAAAAGCGGTAAAGTCTTGGGTGCATGCGAGGTCATTGTTCTGTATTTGTGTCAAGCTGAAAGTTTGTTCTAATGGATCACAAAAAAAGAAAAAAACATTTGGGTATTAAACACCACTTATTAACTCACGCCTCACCTTGGACGTATCCTTGTCAGCATTTACTGTCAGATTTCCTTTTTTTGGTACTTCCGACAGAGTGAGAGTTATTTATAATCCAGAGGGGGAAAGAGAGCACAGACAGTTTGCTTGTTGCACCTGGCATTAATCAGCTAACGGCAGGACAAAGCCTAAAAACAAAAATACGCTCAGAGTAACAATAGCCCTGCTGCACACAGCACTCCTCAGGAGCATATTTCTCCTGAGTAAACTGTCTGTTTCCCATCTCATTAATAACCACCAATAATGCTATTATCATAACCGCTATTACCGTAACTCCTTTCCTCTGTGGTTAAACCAGACTGGGGTCTGTTTGCAGGAGCAAAGTTGAGGGCAACAGGACAGAAAAAGTAGCGCCAGATGTGGCTGTCAGGATGAGTGATTCCAGGCCTTTCCTCACCTGAGATCTTAGCAGCAGGCAGCCAGCCGTAGCTGCTACAGACACAGTGAGTAGTCCTGCAGACATTATCAGGTGTTATTAGGTGTATCATGCTCCTAAAAATACTGTTTGCCTGCTAGCAAGTCCAAGAGCAGTGTGTGCCGTTAAATGAATGTCTGTGTGCAGTTTGACTAGTTCAAGTCAGCTTTCTTCTTTATGCACAACAATAATAATAATAAGAAATTTTTACAAGAATGAATCATTGATCATCATGTCAAGAAGAAAGACATTCAAGGAGTGCCGTCCTTAACCAAGCCCACTGCCTTACAGTTAAGAAACAATTACGATTAGCAGGGAGATTAACCATGCTGTTCTTTTAGCCTGTTCAACTTCTCCAACGAGAGCCATAAAATGTAGTGTTTGGGTATAATCCTGCCGACAAACCGAAAACGCTCTGAACTGGAGAAAGGACATTTATTCTCGGCTTACAATTTTTTAATAATACCAGTTGTAATACACGTCTCAATAGAAGCTGACATGATTTATCATTTGAATTATTGAAGGAAAACTGGCCCACATTTTGAAGCTAAATGTTGCTTTTGAATAATGACCATTTCAAACTTTTTTTTTTTTTCATGCAGGTAAAAAAAAAAAATCAACCTGCTTATATGAAATTATTGTTACCTTAAATGCAGTTCGTGTTAGTGGAGGATAATTATGTCTTTGAATTACATCTTTATTTAGTCTGTTGTTCTTATACTTTCAAAACAAGGCTTACTTTGCTATATAGTTTAAAGTGGGTAATTACACATAGCACAGGGAAAGCCTTTGTAAGAGGTCAGACTTTATTCACTAAGCTACAAGCTCTCTTTTATCTTACAAACAGTACAGCCAGAAACAAGCAAAGCAAACCCAGAAAGCAGTGTGTTGTATGTTTGTGCATGTGTGTGCGTGTGTATGTGCATCTGCTGGCGTGCCTCAGTGTGTTGTTTGTGCGTAGCGGAAAGAGTGGGGTCTGGATATTGTCAAGCTGTCTATCTGATAGAAAAGCCAGCTCTGTGAAGCAGAGAGGCCGCAGCATCAGTCAGCGCTATGCCTCATTTCTGCGGCTCTGCAGATTCCCTCAAACATTGAGCTGCACATACATCGACATACACTGGATCTGTATGCGCTCACACAAACAGTGTTTGCTAGCTTGCATACCACCCACATGATGAGACAGATACCCATTTTGGATTTCCAGCAAAACCACACTCATCTCAGTTTCGATACCTTCAACGAGTTACAGCTGGGTTATTAGACAGGTGTACTTCCAGTGTCAGCTAGCGGGGTTTTGTAATTCGGATTAGGTTCACTTTCAAGTGTCAAAAAAATCGCTTACTGAATAATTGGTCAAAAGTGAGGAATTGCATTCTGCTGTTTCTTAGAATGACACCACTAACTTTATCAACTAAATGCTCAGTTTTCCCCTCTTTACCCTTTAGAGTTTTTTCATCCCATTTGTTTTTCAATGACACCCAATTTGTACAAGTCATAGTTAAATTAATAATTGTAAAATATCTAGTTGAAAAAATCTCTATCCATGAGTTTCTGCTTGACATACGGTTCTTTCTTCATAACAGGGTATATATACTTTTTTTAAAACTTAATTTAGCTGTGGGGACAAGTTAAACTTTTAAATTTTTTTCAAGCTTGTGAGCTGAGTGAGCAAAGCTTTGCAAAGAACAAAAGGTTTTTCTCCTTCCCATTTAAATTTCCCAAATTTTGTTTTTGAATTGCAAATATATTCCTACATTCCTAATCATTTCTGCCTCCTAAAAAAAAGGTCAGTGCGGCATTTTTGTTTTGATTCTGGTCTCATTCAAAACAAAATATAATGACTTGCAGCCAGACACAGTGCATTGCCGTGGAAAATGTCAATTTGGATGTTTAGACGCATCAAAATCAGTCTGAAACATACAAGCAAGCACATACACATTCACGTGAAAAAAACTGCTGTGCTCTGGCTTGCGTCTAAATCTAAATCAAAACTGAGCCCTCGGGAGACGTGCAGACAAGGGAGAAGCCTGTTTAGAGAAATTAATTGTGAGACTTTTTTCCTGTTTGCGGATACAACGTGATTTTCCATACCTAAAAAAAACACATGCTGGATTCAAACTTCCAGAATTCTTAAAAATGCATCATTAGTGTCCACACCACTCATGAGCATGATCTCAAAATGCAACCCAATACTGAAACATGAGCAGGGTTCACACTTTGTAAAAGAAAAACAGTGATTATAAATCAAAAATAGATGTGCATGAAATTCCATCTTGTCCATTACGGTGTCTCCGTGTGTAAGAGATGCTTTTCATTTTCAGCAGCTACAGCTGTAACAACTCGCACAACAGTGCCATAAAGCATGCTGTAAAACACACACGCCAAATTTGCATCGTGAGTTCTGTGGACAGCACGGCTGAAATGGGTATTCTGTGACCATACATTAATCAAATTGCTCTAATCATGTCAAAAACAATTGTTGATGACAGTATTTCGGGTTTTACCAGATGGATGAAAAGTAATTCAACATTTAGATTTCAGTCACAGACAACCAACAAGACCATTCGTGAAAGACTGGGGAGTAAAACAACAGAAAATCCAGGACAACCCAAGTACAGTACATTCATCATCAGTGCCTTTCTTTTCTCCACCAGCTTCAACGGTTCATCGCCGCGGCTCGCCGCCTCATGTTTTTCATTACACCAGTTCCTTCGCGGCTGCAGAGCTAGACACTGGGACTGAAACAAGGTCATCTCAAGATTGACATTTCCAATTTGCAGTTCTTTCAGCAAACAGTCA